TATTTCCTTTCTTATTTAGTTTTTTTAAGTATTTCCTGGAATTTCTAATTGTCTATTTTTTTTCCACCTTTAACATACTCTCAGTTTTTTCAAGATACCCTAATGATTCTGCTTTGGAGACCAGTTTCTTAGGGCCTTCTTTCCTCCTGCTCTAAACTGATCCAGTTTTTCTCTAGGTCTGCTTTTCTTTTTTTTTTTTCTTTTTTTTCATTTATTTTTATTAGTTGGAGGCTAATTACTTTATAATATTGTAGTGGTTTTTGTCATACATTGACGTGAATCAGCCATGGATTTAAATGTATTCCCCATCCCGATCCCCCCTCCAACCTCCCCCTCCACCCGATTCCTCTGGGTCTTGCCAGTGCACCAGGCCCGAGCACTTGTCTCATGCATCCAGCCTGGGCTGGTGATCTGCTTCACCCTAGATAATACACATGTTTCGATGCTGTTCTCTCGAAACATCCCACCCTCGCCGTCTCCCACAGAGTCCAAAGTTCTGTTCTGTACATCTATGTCTCTTTTTCTGTTTTGCATATAGGGTTATCATTACCATCTTTCTAAATTTCATATATATGCGTTAGTATACTGTATTGGTCTTTATCTTTCTGACTTACTTCACTCTGTATAATGGGCTCCAGTTTCATCCATCTCATTAGAACTGATTCAAATGAATTCTTTTTAATGGCTGAGTAATATTCCATGGTATATATGTACCACAGTTTTCTTATCCATTCATCTGCTGATAGGCATCTAGGTTGCTTCCATGTCCTGGCTATTATAAATAGTGCTGCGGTGAACATTGGGGTGCACGTGTCTCTTTCAGATCTGGTTTCCTCAGTGTGTATGCCCAGGAGTGGGATTGGTGGGTCATATGGCAGTTCTAATTCCAGTTTTTTAAGAAATCTCCACACTGTTCTCCATAGCGGCTGTACTAGTTTGCATTCCCACCAACAGTAGGTCTGCTTTTCTTGAATTTCCGTAATTCCTGGATTCCATTCCTTTCCCTTTCTCCCTATTGCAGTGTCATGTCCTCAGAATTTCCTATGAAAGGTTGTTTGAGGGTGCTAAGTTTTCCAAGTAGTTGCATGTCTGAAAGCGCCATTTTTGAACCTGTATACCTTGTTGATACTTGGCTAATTACAGCGCTCTAGATTGGCAATAGGAATTCTAATGGCAGAGTCCCCTCATATGCTGGCTTCTTCCTTGCTGGTAAGAAATCTGGTGGAGATCTGCCTCTGGTTCTTTTGTGAGTGACTTTTTAATTTGAAGGCTTTTAGTCTTTTTACCTGGGCATCTGAAATTTCAGTGTTAGCTAATAAATACCCCTTTGTTTAGGTTTTGTGATTTTTTTTTTCTGTTTATTTTTCTTTCATGTTACGGTCTTTTCCCTGAATATCTGGTGATCCTTTAAAATCTATTGATATGTATGAGTGAACAAAAAAATGACTTTAGAAGTTGGGTGGGATATATTAATGGTCTAGTTTTGTTTACAGTAATTGGGCAGGGAACTAGTTAAAAGCTAGAATGTATGAATATTTCTCTGGGACTGTTTGGTTTCTTTAGGAGCAACTTTCCAAGTTTGGTTTTTCTTTGTGGTTTTTTTTTTTTTGATGGTGGCGGGTCTTTTTGTTTTTTTCCTGGAGCATGAATGACTGTCTTTTGGAGTGGGGTAGTAAACTGTTTAGCACATAACAGCTTTATATACTGCCGCTCCCCGCCATTTTCAGTTCAGTTCTCATCCTCTATTTCAGCTGGCTTTTCTGATCTGGAGTTCTGTAGGAACCTCATCTATAATCCCTTTTTCTGTTTATTCTAGGATGTGACTTCCTCTCTTTTGGTTTTGTCACTTGCCACTTCATATACTTTGAATTTTCTAGAAATTTGACTAAGTCTGTTGCCGAAGGGACCATTCTTCTATTCTCTTTGATACTGTGAATTTCTCTCTCTCTCTGTCGCTGGCCTAATCATTTACAGTAAAGGGAAGGAGATAAATAAATTTGCCATTTTTAAGTAATATGCATTATGATCGCTAAGGGGGTGAAGATGTAGAAGATAGCTGTTAAAGGAACACTTGATATTTCAAAGACAGTAGTCTTATACTTACTCTCTTTTCATTCTAGGTAATTTGAATCCCAGTTTCTTCTCAAGCATTCTTTGTGATCTCAGGCATACTATGTACTGTGAGGTCTTACAGTGTTAATACTTCACATATTGTAGAGCTGTGGCTTTCAATTTGTTTTTTGACTGAAAACTGTAATAAAAAACACATTTTCCTTTACAGCTCAGTTCTCATATAGTGTTACATAAAATAACACTCTTACATACAATATGCTGATATTTTATATTTGTTTTTAAATTCTGGTTGTGACCCTTGATTCTGTGTCTACCTAAGGCCATGCAAGGATCTCAGTAGCAGTGAGAATTTTTTAGTGGGATCAAATTTCAGTCATAATAAAATAGAATACAGTTAAGTTTTTAAAAAATTCATCTTTCAGCCAAATTTAAACTAATTATGTGTTTTGAAAGACATACCTGATTTTTAGATGATTCCTTGATCATGTAGCTTTTCTTGTATCTCTAATAATTTACATGAAGAGCTTCTTATATTGGGGATTTAATAATATTTTTTAAAAGAGCACGATATCCTTACCTCTGATATTGTTATCAATATCAGTATTTTGAAGCAATGACAATAAGTATGACTATATTGATATTTCAAGTCTATTACATTGGCCTAGTAAAAATAGTCAAGTAAAAACAATATGTGACCTTACCACCTGAAAGTAAGACATTACCATATTGAAACACCACTGAGTATGCTTCATTTGCAAGCATGCTTGTAATGGGGAAACTGAAGTATAACGTGATCAGTGTAGACACTGTCAATACTTTTTACATTTAGTGAACAAAATTATTATACATTCTTTTTCTCACAAATTACTTTTTATTCATATTTATGAAATACAGCCAGGCTATCGTCTTATTTTTTCTGCTTATTGAAATAAATTTTTTGTCTCTTATGAGAAAATTCTGAAAATTGATGTTTCAGAGAGATCCCTAAGAGTTAGGCTATATTAAACATCTGCAAGTGCAAAATATTTTCTAATTTTTGAATGATGTAAACATTGATCTTTTCTTACTAGGATAACCATTATAAAAATGTTTTTGACCAATGTAAAAATGTTACATGTCTTGAACCTAGAAGTAGGCCAACCAGCAGTAGACAACAGGAGCATCCTCTCTTCTCTCACTTAACCTTTTACAATCTGATCAACTCTTCCACTATTGTTTTACCTTGGCTTCCAAGAGACTCAACACAAAGTGCTTAAATACAGCAGTCAAATATCTTGTATAGCTTTCCTCCTTTTAATTAATCCTATTGTTCTGTTTATATTTAATCTTGCAAGCACTCTCAAATTCTTTCTGACTCCAGGTTATATAGAAAATAGATTGTGTGGGTGTGTATATGTATGGTACACAGCGATATCTTTTACATTTGTTTATTGCCTGATAGCATTATTTTTTAAGGTTTTATATCTTGCCTTTTCAACTTGCTTCTAAGCTCTTGAAGACAGGAAATCATCTCTAACTTTCAAAACTAGCCTCAAAGGACTGCTTTAAAAGTTAAATAAATAGACATAGGAAACACTTAGAATTGTATTTGGCATGAAGGAAGTGCTAATGTTAGCAGCATTATGTTTTGTTATGTAGCACGCAGACTCTCCATAGAACATGTACTTATAGGAGGGGTTTAGGTAAGAAAAGATTTTTCTATTTCCCAGTACCTACAAAAATTTGAGGACTGGACATTTCTATTTTAACTTAGTGCCAAACAAGTTGAAATGTTAACTGCTTTCTAAATATATCTAATGTTTGGTAAAATCCAAAGGTGACCTCTCCCATCCAAATACTAGGTAATGCTGGGACATAATTCTGGAGGAAAAAGCAACTTGAAAGAAGTCTTTAGACTAAGTAGCACATTACTGAATGGAGAAGCTATGAAAAACATGAATTTCTTCTGAGAGGAGGCTGAAGAGATAGGTGCCCAGAAAAAGAAACTTCCTTTTTATATGTAACATGTTCCTGAATCTACTATTTGCTAGTCTTAAAGATCATATTGTGTCTTCTGACATGTTAGCAGTAGGCTACTAGCCTGTTAACGTAAGAGAACCCCATGGACTTTAGCCCACTAGGCTCCTCTGTCCATGGGATTTCCCAGGCAACAATACTAGAGTGGGTTGCTATTTACTCCTCCAGGGGATCTTCCTGACCCAGGGATTCAACTTGCGAATCCTGCATTGGCCAGTGGATTCTTCAGCACTGAGTCAACCTGGGTAACCCCCTATATATACCATGTTAGTAGTAAAAGAGATGAAAAGGAAAGCCTGCTCAATGAATGATCCTTGCCCTTGAGGAACCTCCTCTGAGTTGGAAAGACCCCTTGGAGTAGGGCACTGGTAGGTGGTGGTGATGGTGGTTGTTTAGTCTCTGAAGTCATGTCTGACTCTCTTGTGACCCCATTGACTGTAGCTCGCCAGGCTCTTCTGTCCATGAAATTTTCCAGGCAAGAATACTGGAATGGGTTGCCATTTCCTACTCCAGGAGATCTTCTCAACCCAGGGATTGAACCCATGTCTCTTGAGTCTCCTGTGTTTGCTGGCAGATTATCACCACGTCATGTGGGAAGCCCTAGGATGTCACAGCTGTAGTCTAAATGATGAATGTGTGAGTCATTAACGTGCAGAGGGAGTGACAAGAGGACAGATTGCAGATAAAGAAATGGAATCAATAATATTTAATGATTGATTATGGGTAGTGAGAGAGGAGGAACGTAAAATTTTATTCCTGGCATGAATAACGGGATTATATGGTAAATTTCTCAGTAGGCTTTTGAGAGAAATTTTACTTTATGTATGTGAATAGCTTCTACAGAATAGTAAACATATGAAGGTAACTTCTGAGTAGGTCATTTCTAAGTTTCTCTTTATTTTTATTTATAGATGCCACCTCAAATGAACAGCAAGAGCTTTTCTGTCAGAAGTTGCAGCAGTGTTGCATACTGTTTGATTTCATGGACTCTGTTTCAGACTTGAAGAGCAAAGAAATTAAAAGAGCAACATTGAATGAACTGGTTGAGTATGTTTCAACTAATCGTGGTGTAATTGTTGAATCAGCGTATTCTGATATAGTAAAAATGGTAAGCTTCTAGACTTTAAGTTCCTCAGATTTATATAAATTCAAGTAAGATCTGAGGTGTAATTATAATTTCATGAGATTGATTTTTAATAAATGTACAATAGTTGATGTACTCAAAAGAATTTTTTTTTAAAATAGTCCATTTGAAAGATACATTCCAGTGATGCTGTCATTGCCTTATAATAGTTTGAGAATTCAGTAGCCACAATGACTGGTGGCTACCACATTGGAGAGTGTGGACATAGAGCTTAGGAGAAAGATGTAAGGTCAAGATTATATGGGTTGGTAATTAATTTCATGCAGCTGAATGGAGAAAGAAGATCTAAAGGGGGAAGAAAAGACTAGTGAAAAATATGGGGTTCTACATATCTCAGAAGTAGATAGGGAGTCAAATCTAAACCACTCTTATTTAGGACATTTTGATATCATACATGTAGATTCTATAGCACTGAATTTTAATCAAAACTCAGGACCCTTAAGTTAAATGATATAAACAAACATTTGAAATATCTGATGTGAAAAAAAAAAGTATTGAAGAAAGATTGTTTAGGGTACTATTTATGAATTATTTAACCATATTCTTCAAACTGTAGAAATTTGTTTAGGACATATGATTTTTGTATTTTAGTGCATAACAAAATATAAAAAATTCATTTGGAATAATTAAGAGTCACCAGGCACACAGTTTAAACTTGTGTTGGTTATAAAAGGTTTCAAAAGAGTCAGACATGACTGAGCTACTAACACACAGAAGGTTATAGCAAGTATGATCTAAACTAAAGTATACTCTTTGCACTGGTCACTTAAGAAGGCTTTCTTATCTCTACTTGCTCTTCTCTGGAACTCTGCATTCAGTTGGGTATATCTTTCCTTTTCTCCTTTGCCTTTTGCTTCTCTTCTTTTCTCAGCTATTTGTTAGTCCTCCTCAGACAACCACTCTGCCTTCTGGCATTTCTTTTTCTTGGGGATGGTTTTGGTCATCCCTCCTGTACATTGTTACAAACTTCCATCCATTGTTCTTTGGGTAGTCTGTCTACCAGATCTAGTCCCTTGCATCTATTCATTACCACTACTGTATAAATCACAAGGGATTTGATTTAGGTTATACATGAATGGTCTAGTGGTTTTCCCTACTTTCTTCAAATTTGAGCCTAAATTTTGCAATAAGGAGCTGAAGATCTGAGCCACAGTCAGGTCCAAATCTTGTTTTTGCTGACCATATAGAACTTCTCTGTCTTCAGCTGCAAAGAATATAAGCAGTCTGATTTCAGTACTGGCCATCTGGTAATGTCAATGTGTAGAGTCATCTCTTACGTTGTTGGAAGAGGGTGTTTTGCCAGCATATGCTGGGTCATAGAAAAGGGAATTCCAAAAAAAATCTACTTCTGCTTCATTGACTGTGCTAAAGCCTTTGACTACATGAATCACAACAAACTGAAATATTCTTAATGAAATGGGAATCCCAGACCATATTACCCGTCTCCAGAGAAACCTGTATGCAGATCAAGAAGCAGCTGTTAGAACTGGATATGAAACAACAGACTGGTTCAAAATTGGGAAAGGAGTACATCAAGGCTGTATGTTGTCCCCTGCTTATTTAACTTACATGCAAAGTACTTCACATGAAATGCCAGGCTGGATGAATCACAAGCTGGAATCAAGATTGCGGAGAGAAAAATCAACAGTTTCAGATATGCAGATAATACGACTTTAATGGCAGAAAGTGAAGAGCAACTAATGAGCCTCTTGATGAAGGTGAAAGATAAAAGTGAAAAAGCTGGCTTAAAACTCAACATTCAAAAAACTAAGATTATGGCATCTGCTCCTATCACTTAATGGCAAATAGATGGGGAAACAATGCAAACAGTGACAGACTTTATTTTCTTGGGTTCCAAAATCACTGCAGATGGTGACTGCAGCCTGAAATTAAAGGACGCTTGCTCTTTGGAAGAAAAACTATGACCTACCTAGACAGCATGTTGAAAAGCAGAGACACTACTTTGCCAGCAAACATTCGTCTAGTCAAAGCTATGGTTTTTCCAGTAGTCATGTATGGATGTGAGAGTTGGACCATAAAAAGTGCTGAGTGTCAAAAAATTGATGCTTTTGAACTGTGGTGTTGGAGGAGACTCTTTTTTTTTTTTTTAATTGGAGGCTAACTACTTTATAATACTGTAGTGGTTTTTACGGTACATTGACATGAATCAGCCATGGGTGTTCATGTGTTCCCTTGGACAGCACAGAGATCAAACCAGTCAATGCTATAGGAAATCAGCCCTGAATATTCATTGGAAGGACTGATGCTGAAGCTCCAATACTTTGGCCACATGATGCAAAGAGCTGACTCATTGGAAAAGACCCTGATCCTGGGAAAGATTAAGGACAAGAAGAAGGGGGTGACAGAGGATGAGATGGTTAGATGGCATCACTAATGGACATGAGTTTGAGCAAGCTCCAGGAGATGAAGGACAGATAAGCCTGGTGTGCTGCATTCCATAGGGTTGCAAAGAGTCAGACACGACTTAGCTACTGAACAACAACAAAATAAACTATACTCACATATTTGAGTCAAATTATTCTGTAATTTGCCATATGTTAATAAATTCTGGGATTTAATTTGTTTTCTCAAGCATAAAGGTGTGTGTTTTTTTGTGTGTGTTTTAAAAAAATTTCTTTTAACTTCTGGGTACTTAATTTCTAGTTAAGAAGCCTACTCAGTCACTTAGTTCCTTAAAGCTTTTTACTGTATTTGCAGTACACAGTATTGGTGGCTACAAGGTTTACTTTTTCTTTTACTACAAACAATAATGTGTGATTTCAAAGGCAAATTATGCCCTTCTTTGGGATGTATTCCCTTTTTGAGTCCTAGCTATGACTTTCTACCACTTGTTGTGAAATTGATATTTATTAAATTGTCTATTGGCTCTTCCCCATATACAGGTTTTGAGTTTTAGAAAATCAAATTTTAGATTTTTACTTTCTAAGTCTTATGGTTGTGTGTGTGTGCATGCTAAGTCAGTTTAGTTGTGTCCAACTCTTTGCAACCCTGTGGACTGTAGCCTGCCAGGCTCCTCTACCCATGGGATTCTCCAGGCAAGAATACTGGAATGGTTTCCATGCCCCACTCCAGGGTATCTTCCCAACCCAGAGATAGAACCCACATCCCGTGTGTCTCCTGCTTTGCAGGCATATTCTTTGCTGCTGAGCCACTGGGGAAGCCCCTTATAGTTCTAGTAATTGACGGTTAATAGTTATTTGGCATACAGTAGATGACTTTATTTTTCTGGGCTCCAAAATCACCACAAATGGTGATTGCAGCCATGAAATTAAAAGACGCTTACTCCTTGGAAGGAAAGTTATGATCAATCTAGACAGCATATTAAAAAGCAGAGACATTACTTTGTCAACAAAGGTCCGTCTAGTTAAGGCTATGGTTTTTCCAGTGGCCATGTATGGATGTGAGAGTTGGACTATAAAGAAAGCTGAGCACCGAAGAATTGATGCTTTTGAACTGTGGTGTTGGAGAAAACTCTTTGAGAGTCCCTTGGACTGCAAGGAGATCCAACCAGTCCATCCTAAAGGAGATCAGTCCTGGGTGTTCATTTGTAGGACTGATTTTGAAGCTGAAACTCCAATACTTTGGCCACTTGATGCAAAGAGCTGACTCATTGGAAAAGACCCTGATGCTGGGAATGATTGAGGGCGTGAGAAGGGGACGACAGAGGATGAGATGGTTGGATGGCATCACCAACTCAATGGACATGGGTTTGGGTGGGCTCCGGGAGTTGGTGATGGACAGGGAGGCCTGGCGTGCTGTGGTTCATGGGTTCGCAGAGTCGGACATGACTGAGCGACTGAACTGAACTGAAGATGCCACTTCATAAGAATCATTGTGAATTTGCTTACACCACCAAACAACATTTGTCTCATCCTATTCCCCGAATAATTTATCTTAAATGACTGACGCCTCAAGTGTTAGGGCCTTACGTGTTTATTGAACCATTTGGTCTGTCAGTCTGTTCATCCTTCTTCAGAGAATTTTGAGTTGGGCTCATAATCTATTCTTTACTAGAGAAGAAGGATTATAGCGTACTTTGGTACTTAGACAATGTGAAAGATGAGTTATAATCTAAAATGAAGAGTTCCAAAGCATACCCTTATTTCAGAGAGATTAGTGTTTTTTAAAAGGCTCAGAGTAAATGAAATCAAATCATCTAAATCAAATCATCATGGGGTATTATAAACTATGTCTGTAATGGCTGTGAAAATGTTATACCCCCATCCTCCTCCTCTTTATAAAATGTGGAGTGTGTATAAGAATAGAGATATTTACCAAACTCTTTTGAGTTATAAGGTAAGTAAAAGTCTGGGTTTATTGTGGAAAGATGAATAAGTTAGGGATAGGGAGAGTTAGGAACTTTATGTCCCCCCCCCCCTCAGTTTCCTCCCCTCCACTTTTTTTTTTTTTTTAAAGTAAAACTTTGAAAAAAAAATTGAAGTTTAAGGAAGTGGAATCTGGAGGTAGTCTGTATGAAATGTGATGTCTGTAGAGGTCAGAGTTACGGGGTAGAGAAAAGAGAAACGGGGCCTTCATGTCTTGAAGAGGTTGATGGGTTTTCAGCTAAACTTACAGTCACAGCTTGTTTCTTAAAGTTATCTTTAAAATATTTCATTTTGCATTTTTAAATTTAACTGAACAACAGAGAATAAAAGTCTAAATTTATTTTTCTTTACAGATCAGTGCTAACATCTTCCGAACTCTTCCTCCAAGTGATAATCCGGATTTTGATCCAGAAGAGGATGAACCCACACTTGAGGCCTCTTGGCCTCACATACAAGTATGGAACATAATTTTATGTTGACAATTTTTGCATTTATGCTGTTCTTCTGAAATCATGGAACTCTGTTTTAGATTTGAGTGTCTATTTAAAGTACTAGATTTTTAATACATTTTCTTAACATTTCCTTTTCCCAAAATACTGCTTTTCATTTTTTTTTTACTGTAAATTACACTTAACATTTACCTTTTAAACTGTTTTAAAGTATATTCCATAGCATTAAGTACATTCGTACTGCTATGCAGTTATCACTATTACCTAGTGTAATAGCCACTTTTTCATTACCTTTTCATCAGTCACAATCTTTTCATCACCCCATATGGAAACACCCTTGTCATTAACAGTCAGTTCCCATTCTTTACCCACCCCCTACCTCCCAGCCACTGGCAGCTATTAATCTACTCTCTCTGTCTAGATTTGCCTGTCCTGGATATTTAATATATATGGACTCATAATATGTGACCATATATGCTTAACATAATATTTTCAGGGTTCATCAATATTGTACCATGTATCAATATGCCATTCCTTTTAATAGCTGAATAATATTCCGTTGTGTGGGCATACCACATTTATCCATTAATCAGTAGATGAACAGTTAGGTGGTTTCTACTTTTTGGCTGTTGTGACTAGAACTGGTATGAATGTGTAAGTTTTTGTTTAATGTGTTTCCTATAAGTTTTGACATGTTGTGTTTTTATTTTCATTCATTTCAGAATGTTTTCTAATTTCCTTTGTGACTTATTTGGCCCATTAGTTATTTAGGAATGTGTTTAGTTCCTGGGCTTCCCTTGTGGCTCAGCTTGTAAAGAGTCTACCTGCAAGGCAGGAGACCTGGGTTCCATCCCTTGATTGGGAAGATCCCTTGGAGAAGGGAAGGCTACCTACTCCAGTATTCTGACCTGGAGAATTCCATGGACTGTCGTCCATTGGGTCGCAAAGAGTCAGGTACGACTGAGTGACTGGGCTTCCCTAGTAGCTCAGCTGGTAAAGAATCTACCTGCAGTGCAGGAGACCCTGGTTCAGTTCCTGGGTCAGGAAGATCCACTGGAGAAGGAATAGGCTACCCACTCCAGTATTCTTGGGCTTCCTTGATGGCTCAGCTGGTAAAGAGTCCCCCTGCGATGCCAGAGACCTGGGTTTGATACCTGGGTTAGGAAGATCCGCTGGAGAAGGGAAAAGCTACCCACTCTAGTATTCTGGCCTGAAGAATTCCATGGACTGTATAGTCCAAGTGGTCACAGAGTCGGACACGACTGAGCGACTTTACCGAAATTTCTACATATTTGTGGCTCCCGTATTTCTTTCTGTTATTGATTTATAATTTTATTCCATTGTGGTTGGTGAATATACTTTGAAATTTTCAATCCTTTTAAATGTATTGGGCCTAGCATATAGTTTATCATGGAGGATGTTTCATGTGTACTTGAGAAGAATGTGTGTATACTATTGTTATTGGATGGCGTGTTGTGTTGAAATCTCTTAGATCTAGTTGGTTGTTTAAGTTTCCAATTTCCTTGTTGATCTTCTGTCTAGTTCTCTCCACTGTTGGAAATGAAATATTGAAATTTCCTACTGTTACAGTTGAATTGTCTGTTTCTCTCTTCTGTTACGTCAGTTTTTGATTCATGTATTTTGGAGTCTTAAAAATTACGTTTATAATCATTTTATAGTTTTTGTGTTAAAATTCATTTTGTCTGATATAGTATTCTATAACCTCTATTTAAATACTATATTTACATAAATACTATATAAATATATATAAATATTACATAAATTTATAGCCACTATATAAATACTATATATAGTATTTTACAGCCACTGTCTTAACTCTCTTTTGGTTACTGTTTGCATGATATATCTTTTCTGTACATTTACTTCTTATCTATTTGTTTCTTTTAATCTAAATTGTGTCTCTTGGGAATTCTTTGTTGGTCCAATGAATGGTTAGGACTTTTCAGTTTCACTGCTGAGGGCCTAGGTTCAATCCATGGTCAGGGAACAAAGATCTGCAAGCCACACAGTGTGGCTAAGTAAATAGTGTCTCTTGTAAACAGCATGTGGTTGAAACCTGTGTTTTTTTTTAATCAGTTCTGACAGTCTCTGCTTTTGATTGATGTTTAATCCATTTATATTTAACGTAATTGCTGGCAAGGTAGAACTTAACGTTCGTTTGCTGTTTCGGCCTTCCCTGGTAGCTCAGTGATAAAGAATCAGCCTGCAATTCAGGAGATGTGGGTTCTATCCTTGGGTTGGGAAGAACCCCTGGAGAAGGAAATGGCAACCCATTCCATTATTCTTGCCTGGGAAATCCTATGGATAGAGGAGCCTGGCAGCCTCCATGAGGTCACAGAGTCGAACACAATCTAGCGACTAAACCACATTTTGCTGTTCTATGTCTTATGTCTTTCTCATTCTTCTACCCCTCCATTATTGGCTTTTGTATTAAATAACGGATTTTCTGGAGTACCATTTTAATTCCCTTGTTTCTTTAACTATACTCTTTTGAGATATTTTCTTAGTACTTACCCTAGGGATTACACTTTAAAACGAACTAGTTTGGTTGAATAGTAGTAGCATACAAAACTTTGGTCCAGTATACCTCCATTCCCTCCCCCTTCTTCTGGGCTGTTATTGTCATACAAATTGGATCTTTATGCTGGCATTTTATTGAGCTTTGCAGATACTGCATTTACAAATTGAAGGTTTGTGTCAACCTTGTGTCAAGCATGTCTACCAGCACCATTTTCTTACTTCATGTCTCAGTGTGACATTTTGATAATTCTTGTAATATTTCCAGCTTTTACATTGTTTTATTTTTATGGTGATCTGTGATCAGTGATCTTTGATGTTATTATTGCAAAAACATTATAACCTGCTGAAGACTCAGATGATGGCTAGCATTTTTAGCAATAAAGTATATTTAAATTAAGGTATGTACATTGTTTTTATAAAACATAATGTGATTGCATATTTAATAGACTATAATATAAACATAACTTTTATATACATTGGGAAACCAGAAAAATTCATATGACTTGCTTTAGTGCAAAATTCACTTTATTATGGTGGCCTGGAACCAAACCTGCAGTATCTCCAAAGTATGCCTGTACATTATACATCCATCAACCCAGTTTTGTAATTATTGCTTTATGCGGTTGTCTTGTAAAACAAAATGAAAGAGTTATAAATAAAAATACATTTACACTCTTTGATATTTACCTATGTATTTGCCTTTACCCATGCTCTTTCTTTCTTCCTATGAATTCAAGTTACATATGGTGTCCTTTCAGCTCAGCCTGAAGGATTCCCTTTAATATTTCTTGTAAGGCAGGTCTATTAATCTGGGACTATCTTAATTTTTCCTTCATTTTTGAAGGACAGTTTGGCTGAATATAGAATTCTTGGCTAACTGCCTTTTCCCCTCAACACTTGAAAGGTGTCCTCCCATTGATCCTCAGGTGTCTATGGTTTTCTGTCCGAGTCAGTTATTAACTTACTAGGATCTGATGTATGTGATACATTATCCCTTGCTGCTTTGAAAATTTTCCGTTTGTCTTTAACTTTTGTCAGTTTGATTATGATATCTCTAGATATGGATCTCTTTGACTTGATTCTAGTTGGAGCTCCACTGAGCTCCAGTTGAATTCATTGTATAAATTAATACTTTTAATCAAATTTGAATTTTTTTTAGCCATTTCTTCAACTATTATTTCTTCTTCCTTCTCCTCTCCTGAGACTCCCATTATGTGTAGTATGTTGGTGTGATTGATGGTAGCCCACAGGTCTTTGAAACTCTGTTCATTTTGTGTTCAGTCTTTCTTTTCGCACCTCAGACTAGATTATCTCTGTTGACCTGTCTCTCTGCCAGCTCAAAGTGTTTTTCATTGTTTTTTTTTGTGTGTGTGTGGGAAAGTAACTTTACTGAAGTCCTCACTCTGCCATTGCAGAAGTCCTCTCTGAAGCACATCTTTTTAGTTGAGACTGAGGGAGGGATAGTTGTCCTGCCTTAATGCCATTGTGTGACAACTCACTCCTCATAATTATTGGGAAACTGGTAATAAAAACTTACTATTTAAGTAGGACCAATTCTTCCATTAAACCCTCTCCAGCTAATTGTTTCTAACCCTAACTTTTTTATTCAAACATTCCCCACAAATACGTGGCTTTAATAAAAGGTCGTCTAAGGTTCATTCAGTTAACTGAATCATGTTGGCGCTACCACACTTAATACTTAAATAACTAGGGCTCTTTAGATAAGATTCAGAGCAGAACATATTGTAACTCTTATGCTGTATTTAAAAACTGTTACAAAGGTTCCATTATAGCTATGAAATATACTTATATGTGTTTAGGGTTTCTTCTGCATGGGGGTGTGTATGTGTATGTGCGCGCTTAGTCATGTCCAACTCTTTGCAACCCCATGGACTGTAGCCCCCCAGGCTTCTTTGTCCATGGAATTTTTTGGCAAGAACACCTGAGTGGGTTGCCATTTCCTTCTCTAGGGGATCTTCCCAACCCAGGGATCATATCCATGTCTCCTGCATTGGCAGGTGGATTCTTTACCCACTGTGCTTCCTGGGAAGCCCTTACAGTGTTTCTTTGCACATGTTCTTATATAGCTAGTCTTTATGATTATTGGCTTTTTTATTGTATACATTAGGTTTTATTTTTGTTCTCCAGATTGTCTAATTAAAATGCTCTGAGAAGACCCATATTATGCCTTCAGGTTACAGATATTTTCTTACTTTTAAAATAAGCAAAGCTTTGAGGGAGAAAGTAAAAGGAACTCTTGCCTAATGCTTTAACTATAATGACTTTAATATTTTTTATTGGGGTATAGTTGATATGCAATATTGTATTAGTTCCAGGTATATAAATAGTGATTCGGTATTTTTATAAATTATACTCCATTTGTAGTTATAAAATATTGGCTATATTTCCTGTGCTATATAATATATTCTTGTAGCTTATTTACATTATAAATAGTTGTTTGTATC